TAGCTTTCGCGAGCCGCAGCTGTAACGCGGCTGAGGCGAACTACTCCTCCTACGAGGGGGAAGGCCTGGCGGTGGTGTGGGCCGTGAAGCACTTCAGGGTCTACCTGCAGGGCCGGAAGTTCACGCTAGTGACGGACCACCAACCTCTGCTCTGGTTGATGCAGACGCCAGACCTGACGGGGCGGAATGCGCGGTGGGCGATGAAGTTACAGGAGTACGATTTCGAGATCAGGCATCGTCCAGGCAAGACTATGCAACACGTGGATGGGCTGTCACGGAACCCACCAGCGGTGCAGCCGTCAGCCTGCCTCATGGCGATGGCGAAGGAAGCGGACAGGGGGCAGGTCTGGGGGGAACAAAAGGGGGGGCCAGCAGATATCTGGGAGGACCCAGCAGCACTGGCCTGGATACAGGGAGCTACTACGGAAGAAGGAGCAGTGTCGGCGCGGGTGCGAGCCAGAGGTGAACACTACCGCTGGTTCAAGGAGCAGGTGCAGCTGCGAACAGGGGAAGGATGGAAGCACGTACCGCCGCCTGTAGAACGAGAGGGCATCATCAGCGAAGTGCACACAAAGCTGGGGCACTACGGGCCCTTGCGGACGCAGCAGCTGGTACAGACAGGATGGTGGTGGGCGGGAATGCGGCAGCAGATCAAAGACTGGGTGAGCAAGTGCGATGCATGCTGCAGGAACCGAGCAGTGCTAGAGAGGGAGAAAGCAGAGCTGCAGCCGCGGCCTATAGTGAGCCTGGGGTATCGCTGGTCGCTAGACATCGCTGGGGAGCTGCCTGTCACCACAAAAGGGCGCCGGTACATACTGCTCATGGTGGAGCATGTTAGCAAATGGGCAGAGGCAAGGCCGCTGGTGCAGAAGTCAGCGGAAGCCGTGGCAGAAGCTTTCGAGGAAATGGTGATCACCAGGCTAGGGGCATGCGGTGAAGTGTTGACGGATCAAGGAACAGAGTTTGCCGGGGCCTTTGACCAGCTGCTGCAGGCCAGCGGCATTCGGCACAGAACCACGTTGCGCTATCATCCGCAAAGTGACGGGCTCACGGAGAGGCTGGTACAGACGGTGAAGAAAGGGTTGCGGGCGTACGGCGAGGAGCACAAGAGGGATTGGGACAGGAAACTCTGCTGGGTCATGGCAGGGTACCGTTTCAGCAAGCAGGCCGCGTTAAGGGACGTCTCTCCCTACTATCTGCTGTTTGGGAAGGAGCCGGTGCTGCCGGTGGGAGCACCTAAGCTCTTGGCGGACGTGATCACCACGGGCTCACCAGAAAAGTGGGTCGCAGTGGCGGACGCGCGGGCAGCGTATCTGAGGCACCTGCTGCCAGCAGCGCTGGAGAACCTGCACGTGGCCCAGTTGAGGGACATAGAGCAGTATAAGCGACGGCAAGAGGCCAATGGCAAGGGCGTAGCAGCAGGAGTGCAAGAGGAGGAGGAAGTGTACATTAGGAGGCAGCGCAAGCATGCCCTAGACGTGGGGCTGTCGCAGCAGCGATGGACGGTGAAGGAGGTGCGACCCTCGGGAGTGATTGTGCTGGAAGACGGTAAGGGCAAGCGGGTGGCAGACCATGTGACGAACGTGGCGAGGATCCGCTCAAAGATGGCGAAGGGCGGACCCCAGGGTCCCATGACGCGCACGAGGGCGGCTGCATTGCGCCATGGGAGGGGGCAAGGAGGGTCCGAAGAAGAGACCAGCAAGGAGAAGGGAAAGCAGAAGGTTGGGTAGGACACAAAAGGGAGAGAGGAGGGAGCGAGGGAAGCAAGAGCTCGGTGAAGGGAGGGTTAGGGGAAGGAAGGGCATGGTCCAACCAGGCCATAAGTGGCAGAACCGGTGAAGCAAGCCAGGAGAGTGTGGAGCAGAACAGGAGGTGGAGGGCAGAGCAGGAGGATGAGTGGAGGGCTTCCGAGAGCTGTCAGAATCTTGAGGCTATGGCCTAAGGAGGTCTGACAGAGGGTGAAGCAGGGATAAGCATAAGGGCAAAACAAAAACAAAACAAAAGGGGGGGGGGAAGGTGTACTGAACTGTGGTGTACATTTGTAAATAGCGAGGGACCCTGCAGCGGGGAAGGACCAGGCATGCGACAAGGAGGAGAGGAGGGACCGAGAAAAGGGGAAGGACCGGTTGGCAGAGGTGGCTGCAGAATGACGTGGCGTGGTATGAGATTGGGGTGGATATGGTGTGCATGGGGGTGTGCTCTTTTTGTTTCCGCAGACACCGAGTCCGAGGTCAGCAGGAAGTCACTGTTTCCAGCTGGGAGGCAGGCAGCACGGCAGTACGGATGGCAGCTAGGCTATCTACTCAACAGCTTCGTTGCTAGGTAGCCTTGCTAGAGTAGGTAGGGAAGCATAAGAAAGGGCCTCGGGCCATGGGACTGCTACTGTGCGTATGTTTTCGTGAAATTACTGTAATACTCTTTGTCTCACGCAGTTCTAACACGGAGCCATAACCACAGTCGAAATGAATGGGTAGGAGCCGGGCATTTAGGAGGGTCCGAAGAAGAGACCAGCAAGGAGAAGGGAAAGCAGAAGGTTGGGTAGGACACAAAAGGGAGAGAGGAGGGAGCGAGGGAAGCAAGAGCTCGGTGAAGGGAGGGTTAGGGGAAGGAAGGGCATGGTCCAACCAGGCCATAAGTGGCAGAACCGGTGAAGCAAGCCAGGAGAGTGTGGAGCAGAACAGGAGGTGGAGGGCAGAGCAGGAGGATGAGTGGAGGGCTTCCGAGAGCTGTCAGAATCTTGAGGCTATGGCCTAAGGAGGTCTGACAGAGGGTGAAGCAGGGATAAGCATAAGGGCAAAACAAAAACAAAACAAAAGGGGGGGGGGAAGGTGTACTGAACTGTGGTGTACATTTGTAAATAGCGAGGGACCCTGCAGCGGGGAAGGACCAGGCATGCGACAAGGAGGAGAGGAGGGACCGAGAAAAGGGGAAGGACCGGTTGGCAGAGGTGGCTGCAGAATGACGTGGCGTGGTATGAGATTGGGGTGGATATGGTGTGCATGGGGGTGTGCTCTTTTTGTTTCCGCAGACACCGAGTCCGAGGTCAGCAGGAAGTCACTGTTTCCAGCTGGGAGGCAGGCAGCACGGCAGTACGGATGGCAGCTAGGCTATCTACTCAACAGCTTCGTTGCTAGGTAGCCTTGCTAGAGTAGGTAGGGAAGCATAAGAAAGGGCCTCGGGCCATGGGACTGCTACTGTGCGTATGTTTTCGTGAAATTACTGTAATACTCTTTGTCTCACGCAGTTCTAACACGGAGCCATAACCACAGTCGAAATGAATGGGTAGGAGCCGGGCATTTAGGAGGGTCCGAAGAAGAGACCAGCAAGGAGAAGGGAAAGCAGAAGGTTGGGTAGGACACAAAAGGGAGAGAGGAGGGAGCGAGGGAAGCAAGAGCTCGGTGAAGGGAGGGTTAGGGGAAGGAAGGGCATGGTCCAACCAGGCCATAAGTGGCAGAACCGGTGAAGCAAGCCAGGAGAGTGTGGAGCAGAACAGGAGGTGGAGGGCAGAGCAGGAGGATGAGTGGAGGGCTTCCGACAGGTGTCATTACATGTGTGTTACACACCCAACCTGAAAGTTTACAACAGTTGTTTAGACACGTTTGACCTCGCACAACCGCACTTCGCCTTTAATTTCATTACGAACTCACGTTTTTGTTCGTTGCGATGGAGGGAAATACGATTGGTTTCCAACGGTGCAGATCAACCGAGGGTAGCAGGCTTGTTTCTATTGGTTCAAAAACAATCGCGGCGATTATTTGCCACGCGTCAATGAATCCACCACGCGTGCACCTAGACAAGTGATTTTGCTTGAGGCTCCGTAACCAGGGCCCCGTAATGGGTGAGGGCTACTTTGTCCTCACGCGGGACACGCCAGAAAAACGACGAACCAAGGGCTGGGCACTAAGCCAAATCGGGCAGCTGATCCTTGGGCGCTGTTGGGGGCCGAGCCAAGATCGCACGTGGCTCGGTCGAAAGCTGACATAGCCCGGGCCCAGCTCGGCTCGGACCACCTGACCCAACTACACCAGGGCTGTGCCAGGCTGACGCAGCACACATTTTCGACTGGTTACCCAGCGAAAAGATAATCTGGCGCGCAAACACCTGACGCGCCAGCATTTCTGTTGTGCGAACTGCAGAAGCGAAGTATCCACCTACCTGCAATGTTTCGCGCTGGCAAAGTATTGATTCGCCTGCAACCTCCAAATTCCCCCAACCTTTGTGCACCTGGACAGACCCGAACGTTGAACGATCTGTCCCTGCTAGGGCCCACGCGCGATCTATCTGTACATGGGCTCCTCGCATGTTGAGTGGGCGATATTTTACAGATTGGATTGAACGGCCAGGATGACTCGTATGTGCAACGTTTCCTATCTGTATAGTGAATTTCTCAGACATGTTCAACAATACTCACAACAAGCGTTGAAAAGGCAATGACCTTGCGATTATGTGTTATGGAGTATACAGCTTGAAGGTACCCTAAACTGTACCAATTTCTTGTAATTCATGAACGATTTTGTTACATGTGTAGCAGGTGTGTGATTCTAATTCCACTACAACACTAAATTCATGTATTTCCAACGTAATTCATACGCCATGTTATGTCTGCATTGTATGTTAATTATCATGTTATATTTCCATAGTAAAAATTTGCATGAGTTAAATACGAAAAAAATTCAACAACATATTTTTAAATTACGGTAAATGTTTTCACGTACATAAATCTACATCAACTAACACGATAAGTTACACTGGGAACATTTATACAAGATATTGGAATCTCAATCCATCGATGGTAGGGGCAAAATTTCGACCAACCAGAACGTGCAGGCGTGGAGCTTCGCGACTGGCCAAAAACTTCAGAGATACTTCCAAACCTGTGCCAAACCTACAACTCACCATCCATGCCTCGAAATCAGGTGCAACTTCTCGGTCTCGCGCTGGACAACTCGCAACCGATACGCCACCAAAGCATCCAAATCGCAAACCATTGGCCAAAGCCAATGGTTTGCAAGTCGAAACGACTGGTTTTACCCAACCAGTCGCTGGCAACTGGTTTCCGATACGAAAGCAAGAAAACATAGTTTGGCGATCCTCACACTGCCCCCTCTCTCGTCGCTCCCAGAGTCCTCTCCTCTTCCGCCCTCTTTCTCTCTGTCCAACTCGTTCACCCCCTCCTCCCTCCTCTCCTGGGCACTCACTCTCTCCCCCTCTCTCTCCTCCTCCCCCTCCCTCCCCCTCCCTCCGCTCTCCTCCTCTCCACTCTCTTTCTCTCTGCCCCTCAACCTCACTCCCGCCTCCCTCTTCTCCTCTCCTCTCTGCCATCTTCCTCTCTGCCCCACTCAGTCACACCCCCCCCTCCCTCCTCTCCCAGGCTCTACCTCTCTCTCCCTCCCTCTTCTCCTCCCCCTCCCTCCTATCCTCTCACTGCCTCTTCCTCTCTGCCTCTGTTCCATTATCCATTGCACGTGGTTTGCTGTCTTGTTTGCAGATGGCATACACGTATAGCAAATGCCCAGCACAGGCATCTTTTGACACGGCACAGGCTCTTGCTTCACACCAGCGAAGCCAGGCGTGCAGGGCCGTGAGACTGCCTGCGGTTGCATCGAGTGGTAGCAATCCGTACCTTCTACCGTGACAACACCGGGCGCCAGTGGCGCACATCCCATTATTCAACCTTACGCCCGTGGAGTTAGATGACCCTCCTGTTGTGTGTGATGCTGCTGAAACTTTGCAGGATAGCATGGTGTCACCAGATTTTGTTTCAGATGTAGATAGTGACAATGGCAGTAGCTCAGATAGTGATGATGATGAGAACTGCATGCCTTGTGATGTACCTGTTGCTATAAACATGCCGGATGTTTTTTTTTTTTTTTTTGGGGGGGGGGGGGAGGGGGGGGGGTGAGGGTACATCTCGGGGGATAGCACCTGTTGAGATGGAAGGCCTCGGGATTCCCGGGTCTGATGATGTCGAGGAACGTCTATTCAACTTCATGGATGCCCTTGCACACTGGTTGTTGATGGAGAATCTGTCACAAAGCCAGATTGCTACCTTGTTGGCAATCCTTTGTCATGCAAGCACACGTTTGTCTGACATTCGTGATGTTGAGAAGTATGCTGAGTTGAGGGTTCCTGACACGTCGAGGGCAGGGCTGATTTTATCAGGGTAATTACCCTGATTTCAGGTTGATTTCAGACTTTCCACTTTACGGAAACTGAGATTTCAGAATTACTGAGTTCTCAACCCTGTTCAAATCAGAGTAGTAGTTTTCCTATCCCTGATTTTGAGTATAGTGTAACAGACTAGCCTGTTAGTGGACCCTGACTTAATAGGGTATCGAATCTGTGGTCCCTGATTTTGACCTTATCGAGAGAAAGGTTCTTGGAAATTTCCTTCCGATATCCCCCTTCGGTTTGATCGCAGTACAGCCAGCGCGTGAGCGATGGACAGCAGCATGTCTGACAGGTGAGTACACTCTATGTTTGTTATTTTCACGAAATGCGAATATGTTGTTCCACTGTCGTAAGTGCGTGTGCGTAAAGTTTGGCGTAACCTATTTTGCGTTTCACACAGCGATGTTGGCCACATTCAGGTATCGAATCGAAATGTTTGGTTGAGCGAAATCGCTCATCTCTTCCCCCCACTAAAACGTGTGCATAAATATCATTCTGTGACACTAAAAGGGTGAAACTTAGTGCGCTCAAAGTGTGCGCGAAACACATAGCGCTAACTTTACGCAGAGGGAAACCTTTTCCCCTGTAACAAAGGGCGCGTTACTACACTGATCCTCGATTTTCGACCCTGAACAATCAGAGTTATATACTTTTCAACCCTGAGCAATCAGAGTAGCATTATTCTGAAAAATGTGCACTCATAATAGAGGGGAAAATTTTTTCCCCGGAATCAGGGAGGCCTAATATGAAACGTCAGCCCTGGTCGAGGGGCTGGAAGAAGGCCAGGGTGCGTGTTGGGACAAAGTCATGGCTTGAATATCACTATTGTGATGGCCTTCTAGCGCTGAAAGAGCTTCTCACACATCCTAAGCTTGAGGGTAAGATTTTCAAGGAAGCGACAACTCGCATCCCTGGGGTGAAGCATGTTTACTCCAATCCAGAAACGAGAGATTGGTGGTTAAAAATGCAAGAAAACATTCGCAAAGAGATGGTGCATAGCTTTGTCGCTGCTCTTATACTAGCGTCGGATGAGACACACATGTACCAGCGGGGTAAGGCGAAAGGCCACCCCTTATACATGACGCTGGCCAATATTCTAAGGGAAGAGAGGTGGAAGAAGCATGGGCAGGTGCTACTCGCTCTTCTCGCAGAATCCTTGGATAAACTTGTTGTGTTCCAACATGTGCTTAACCAAGTGCTAGCTCCACTAAAGCCTGCGTCTCACACGGGTATTAAGGTCAAGGGTTCCAATGGTGAAACCATGAACGCATGGCTTGCTCTTTATGCGTATGTGTGTGACTATCCTGAATCGTTCAAGGTCACGTGCACAAAGTTGGGAAGCACAGCTCGACCATGCTCAATTTGCCTCACAAAACGGGATGAATTAGCTCATTTTTAGCGTGGCATGGTCGGTAGGACACCACGTGTCCATCGATCATTGTACCGAATGACAAAGAGTGGTGCGTATGATGTGTCGGAAAATATAATTTAATATTTTCTATATGTAACTGCCTGTAGGATTAGTTACTGTAGTTATAGCGTTTTCCTATTTGGTGGTGCACCTTTCTTGATTGTTCTCTCATATTTGTACCCTTGAACCTATAGTGAAACCCTCATTCTCTCGACACTTTTTCTCTCAACTCGAACTTCTCACTAGCCATGGCTCCTAAGCCTCGCTAGATTCTCAACATGTTATCAGAGTGACCAAGGTCCTGACCTGTGGACCCACCCTAAAGCTTCCGCTGCTAATCTGTGTTCGGCCTCGCCGCATACCTGCGGCCCTGCTGCCTACCTTCGGCCTCGCCGCATACCTGTGGCCCCGCCGCCTACCTTCGGCCTCGCCGCCTACCTGCGGCCCCGCTGTCTACCTTCGGCCTCGCCGCCTACCTGCGGCCCTGCCGCCTACCTTCGGCCTCGCCGCATACCTGTGGCCTCGCTGCCTACCTGCGGCCCCGCCGCCTACCTTCGGCCTCGCCGCCTACCTTCGGCCCCGCCGTCTACCTTCGGCCTTGCTGCCTACCTGCAGCCCTGCCGCCTACCTTCGGCCTCGCCGCATACCTGCGGCCCCGCCGTCTACCTTCGGCCTCGCCGCCTACCTGCGGCCTCGCCGCCTACCTTCGGCCTCGCCGCCTACCTGCGGCCCCGCCGTCTACCTTCGGCCTCGCCGCCTACCTGCGGCCCTGCCGCCTACCTTCGGCCTCGCCGCATACCTGCGGCCCCGCCGTCTACCTTCGGCCTCGCCGCCTACCTGCGGCCTCGCCGCCTACCTCCGCCTACCTCTGGCCCCGCCGCATACTTGCGGCCACGCCACCTATCAATGGCCCCGCCACCTGCGGCCCTGCCACCTGCGACCCCGTCACCACTTGCGGCCCCGTCGCCCACTTCGGCCCCGATGCCACCTGCGGCCCCGCCCACTTGCGGCCCCGACCCTACCCTGGCCATGCCCCGTCACCAGCTGCGGCACGCCGGGGGCACGTGCACCGCCCCCCCCCCCCCCCCCCCCCCCCCCCCCTTTTCCCGTCACCTGTCAAGGCAACCTGAGGGGCGACCTGGAAAGAGGGGGCAGGCGTCGCCCCTTCTGCCGCCTGCTTTGGCGCCCGGGGAGGCCGTGCGTCGCCCCCCCCCCTCCCCCCCCCCCCCCCCCCCCCTCTCCTCCTCCTTTTGTTCCCTCTGCTGCAGCTGCCGCTGGGGGGAGGGTGTGAGGATGTGGGGAAGCGTGCACAAGTGTGCGGAAGCGAACTCAAGTGTGCGGGAAGCGTGCACTAGGGTGTGCGGGAAGCGTGCACAAGTGTGCGGGAAGTCCGGGGAGTGACACTGGGGTGGCGGGTGTGAGGCCACCCAGCAGCCGTCCCTCCACCTCTCCTCTCTCCCCCCCTCTGCTGCTCCTGCAGCAGTGTGTGGGGGAGGGGGAAGGGGAGGGGGAGGGGGAGGGTGGGAGGGTGTGAGGGTGTGGGGGAGCCAGGGGGAGTGGTATTATTGAAACACTTTTCTCCTCCTGCGCAATCGTGATGTACCCCTTCAGAGGGCGCTAACTGCATACTCATCTCCTACAGCCAGTTATGGGGGCGTGTCGGAAAATATAATTTAATATTTTCTATATGTAACTGCCTGTAGGATTAGTTACTGTAGTTATAGCGTTTTCCTATTTGGTGGTGCACCTTTCTTGCTTGTTCTCTCATATTTGTACCCTTGAACCTAGAGTGAAACCCTCATTCTCTCGACACTTTTTCTCTCAACTCGAACTTCTCACTAGCCATGGCTCCTAAGCCTCGCTAGATTCTCAACATGATGCTACGCAACACGATGACTTGTTAATGCATCTTGTCGAGTGTTGCCTATGGGGATGGCGGTGGGAATCTGAACCACTCCTCAACCCATACCTTTGTGTCATGCCCGACATCATGCACCAAACAGATTTGGGGTTGTTGGAACACATAGTGGAATGCATTCGTCAAGGTGGTGACACACCCGACACTAAAATGACCGATGCACGAAGGAAGTTGCTATTTAGTGTTGGAAACAATTAACTCTAAGCACCTCTGTCGTGTCGAAACACTGAGTCAGAAGCGAAACAAAGCATATCGAAGCACTGGTGAGTCAACCCTCGGAGGTTGAGCAGTTGCTGGAGGTTACGCGAAAGTCAAAGGTCAGCGACCTTTGACCTGACAAATATAGCGCGATAGCAAGGGCACACAACTGACTCGTTACAGAGCAGTTGCCCTAGTCGTCACTGTATCGAACCGCAACAGCAACAGTAAAACAATTGGAATCATATCTCTTCGTATTCCTTGTACTCTTATATAATCTTGTATCTCTTTGCTTTAATCAATCTATTTTGCCCTCACATACTAGTGCAAGGTGGTTCAAACACTTCTCATTAAGCTTCCGCTATAATAACAAGTCCTACTCAGAGTTTAGCCCTGCAAAGATCCTAAGGGCCTTTTTCTCAGCCCAACATGGTATGAGAGCAATCAGGGCAAACTCAACTACTATCAAGACACCTACAACATCAGAAGGCATAGCAACTCAGAAGGAGAGAAGCTCCTCTAACGGCTCTCCTAGTACTACTCCTACTCGACCTCCTCCCTCCAGCCTACAGACAGAGGAGGGCACAGCAACAAGACGAAGAGCAACTTCTACTGAGACTCCTGCGAATCAATTTGCAGGCTTGGATCAGAACATGATGGAGAAGTTTTTCTCCTTCATGTCCTTCTACGAGCAACACCAACAGTTGGCACCTGCGCAGTCAAACATCAGCAACAACAACAAGGACGTCACACCCATGAGTCTTGATGGCTCATCCTTGTTAGAAGAACGAGGAGAAAGTTTAGAACAAGAAAGAGAGGTTGCACTAGCAAGCAGTTGAGTACACATAGGAAACCCTAGATAGGGCTGTACTCGCTATGGAGTACCCCACTGCAGGCTAGACAAATACAACATTCTGACAATCCTATGCGCGCGGAA